ATACCGGGGAGCATGGTGTAAACCAGATAGGACTCAATGATGGAACAACGTCGAATTCAATTCTGTATCCGTGCTGGATGATGGATAACACCCACTCATCAGATGTAATGGATTCCCAAGCGGGGAGTCGGCTTTTCAGCTGGTCCCCAAATGAGAGGGGGGAGATTGGGGTTGGAGGGGGGGGAAGATTCGCTTGTCCCATCAGCGCTGATGTTTATCTCCGTCGAAGCGGCGGTGGCCTTGCTGGAAATGCTGATGCAGCTGCTTGCGGCGCTGCTGGCAATGCTGTGGCTGTTGGCGGGGTGGAAATTGCTGCCTATACTGAGGCCGAGCCCATGACCACTTACGTCGAGGGGGCAGTTGTAGTTCCATGCGCTGGGCAGTCATCCTCGACTTGTGGATCTTCTTCAACTTGTGATCGGTTCTAACGTTGAAGAGGCCGGATCCATCAAAGGGCATCTCCTCAATCCTCCTTTTCATCTCCTCGGGAAAGTTGTAGTTATGCAACCATGCGTGTCTCCAAAGAGAGATGGCGCCGACGAGAGCCCTCGAGTCCGTATTCACGTGGTGTCTGGCGGTGGATAGTTGTTGCACAGTGACCTGCATTGCCTCCTTTACGAAAACCCTTGCTAAGTCACCTTGATTATCAGGGAGGGTGGCAATGATGTTGTCCAGGTGCTGCATTATAAAGTATTGGTAACGCGCCAGGGTTGCCTCATAGTTAGAGATTTTTAGGCCCAGACCTGAAGCCGCATAGACCCGGTGCGCGAGGGAGTTGATCTTTCTTCCCTCTTTGTCCCGGGGCGCTGTATGACCCCGTGCCCCCCGACCCTGAGATGATTCTATCACCACTGAATTTGGCTTGGGGTGGCAGAGAAGGAACGGAATGTCCCCTTCACGAACTCGATATATTGCCTCATATTTTCTAGAGGTCGGTTGAGACTGCGCTGGGAGGTCCCACGGTTGGGTCATCACTTGTCGAAGGGTTGTAATAAGTGGTAAAGCGATGGAGGTCGATTGTTCTCCCCGCATGACATCGTAGAAACAGTCAGTGCTAGGCCCTGGTTGTTGGCTCGCTTCAATCTCCAACAACTTCACCAGCCTGGACATCAGTTCAGCAAACGTGATATGCGGCTCTTCTGGTGATGCCGGACCTTGTGAAGTGACCGCAGCATCAGGTGAAGTTGAATCGACCTCAGACTCGTCCGAGTCCACCCCATATGGAGGCGGGACGCTGGAGGAGGAACCCCCTGGTGACTGGGATCTCTCGCTTTCCCGAGATGGTGCACACCCAGCGCCCCTCGAAGCCGTAGAGTGGGGTCGATCCCGATGTTCAGTTGCGGGGGATCGAGCTATAGCAGCCGGGTAGTATCCGACGGATGGACAGTTGGACCATCTCGGTGCCGGGAATACTACCAGTCATCAGAGCGGGGTTCCGAAGAGCGGCTCCTCCGATCTCTCAGTGGGGACAATCTGGTACCCGGGTCGAGCCCAACAGGTGGCATAGGAATTGGGGATCGAGCCCTCGGCGGAGAGTCTTGGATCTCGCCATCAGAAATCGAACCGCGAGGTGGATCTTGGTGTAGCTCCGATCCCATACAATGTGGGGAGGCTGGAGGGGAGACTCTCATCGCCGCTTGAATAGTCGGACCCAACGGTGTCGGTACCGGGGCTGCAGTCGGAACCGAAGAGGCCGCCGAACCTGAGCATTGTTTCAAATATTCAGGCCTCTTCGGTTTCTTTGCCCATTTCTCGGCCTTATCTTTCTTGGCCCTTTTGTGCACAGGCGGATTCTCAGGAGCACTGTGCTTCCTCTTTTCCTTCTGTTTCTTGGGCAGAGAAACAGGCCGCTTCCCGATGGCGGAAGCACCTTTGCCTGAAGGGCGTAAGGGCGGAGCAGTAGAGGAAGAGGCCGGACGTTGCGGCGGTTCAGTAGAGGCCGGACGGCGGTCTGGTGGGGCCGAGGTTGTAGCAGGCTTAGCCACCAGCCGGTTGGATTGTAGGAGGGCCTGGTCCCACGGGAGTTTCCATAAACGGTTCTCCCTGTTCTTCCTGGCCTGTTTTGAGAAGGCCAGGCAATGGACACACTTGTCTGTCCTGTGGCCCTCCCCTAAACAGAGGAGGCACAGGTTGTGCAGGTCCACAGCGGGCATTTTAAAGCCACACTCTCTGCACTTGCGGAATGTGGTTCATTGAGCCATTGCGGAAAAAGAAGAAAAGAAGATAGTAAAGCGGGAATAGATAATATTTTTGTTGTTGTTGTTGTTTTAATAGGAATGAGAAACAAGCAAAAAACGAAGAGAATAACTGGAGTAATACATTAAGGTAAGAAAGGAATACTAGCTTGGAAGGAACAAGAGAAAAAGATTCGAACAAGAGAGTAAGAGGCATGATCTAAGCGAGAGCGAAGCAGCACGAGGCACAATGAATGGCGGTCGCAAAGACTGGAAAATGGCGGACACTCCGCTCCTTATATACTACTAGCGGGGAGGGGGAGTGGAGTTTCCTGCCAAACCGTTAGCTGTTAATCTTCCGGCTAAAGGCACTGCACAGGTGCAGAACCCCATATGTGTGATGCACAGAGGCCATGACAAAGAATAAAAATAATCTTTGTTGTTGTTAGTTGCAAAGTCATGTCTGACCCATCGCGACCCCATGGACAACATTCCTCCAGGCCTTCCTGTCCTCCACCATTTCCTGGAGTCCACTCAAGCTCACACCAACTGCTTCAGTGACTCCATTTAGCCACCTCATTCTCTGCCATCCCCTTCTTCTTTTGCCATCTATTGTTCCCAGCATTAGACTCTTCTCCAGGGACTCCTTCCTTCTCATTAGGTGGCCAAAGTATTTGAGTTTCATCTTCGGTATCTGGCCTTCTAAAGAGCAGTCAGGGTTGATCTCCTCTAGGACTGACTGGTTTGATCACCTTGCGAGTCCCTTGGAC